TTTGAAATTGTTGGGATAAATGTTCACAGGCATTGTCTCTTCTTAAGGTACAAATAGAAACACTGAATTGAGTTCTTATTTCTCGATAAAATTTTTCAAAAATATAAAATAATTCATATATATTCTTCATTAAAAGTAACCATGTGCAACCTGAACAATCTTCAATAAAGGTGAAAAAACACCTAGACTTAAGAGAATAGACAATATGCGAGGGACCCCAAAAATCGGTATAAACTAAAGCAAAACGGGATGATGCTCATTTATTAACTCGATTGGGAAATTGGGTACGAGTGTGTTTCCCTAACTGACACAACTCACACTGTAAATAAGATACCTTCGATATATTTGGCACCAACTTATGTAATTTGGAATTACTGGGATGACCTAACTGAGCATGGATAGTGAGTGGAGGATCTTTGGCTGAGCATGTCTGAGATGACACTGAGAGGTGATAAAGGCCTTAAGACTCATATCCGATGCCAATCGTTCGTCTTGAGCTCCGATCATGCAGGGCAATATTATTGTTAATGAAGGTGACACCACAATCAAGAAAACGAGTTAAACAACTAACTGTCAGTAAATTAAATGTAAAATTAGGTACATAGAGGACATAAGTAACAGAGAGAGGAGGTAGAATTTGAACAGTACCAAACTCTTCGGATCGGGTTTGAGAACCATTGACAAAAGTTATAGTAGGTAAGAAACTAGATGTGGAAATGAAAGAGAGATTTTTTATCACTGGTAACATGATCAAATGCACCAGAATAAAGGAATCAAGGTTAAAGATAAGATGATTGAGAGAGGCAAATAGATGAGTTACTAGTGTGTGCTACCGTAGCAGTAGAATCTGATTTCTGATAATTATGATACCACCTGAAAAAATCATCTTAGTTTGGCGTAAAGTTCTAAGGAGTAGCCATGAGTATATGAAGAGAGAAAATATCATGCGATCGGGCTCCTAACATGTTGTCATGTGCAGTTCAGGTGGCAGTGCGTGAGGCCCACATGCAAAGACAAAGTGCATATGTTTATGCCGATGAAAAAGTTTTTTGAAAAGCCTCCGGGAACAGTAGCAACGACGACGATGCAGTTTGGACCGGAGAATATTGAAAACTGATGCCGGAATGAGTTACGGTAAGGTATGGAAGGTAAACTAGAGTTATGACACAGTTTGCCAAAAAATTCTCACCAGAAGATAGTGATTCAACCGGGTAAAGCACGACGAGAGATTGTCTCTAAGTAGGCTCTAGATACCATGTTAAGAAATATGGTTGAGGCTAACTCAACACTACAAAACTGGTTTGTAGGGTGACAATTATCTCCACTTATAAAGACATGTTCAAACCATATACTATCCATTATGAGACTCTTAACACACCCTTTCAAGCCCAAAACTGGACATCTGAAGTATGAAAATAAATGGTGAGTGGTTCGATAGTAGAAAGTTGATAGCAGGTGACCCACCCGATCTTAAAACAAGACTATGATACCATGTTGAAATACAAGAAACTAAGAGACATGTGAATAAACTGTGTGTAGTAAAAAACACTACGGAGACATTATTATATATAGAAAGATTGCAACTAATTATATGATATTGTCAATGTGAGACTACTCTGTATACAAATATTCTTAACACTATATTTACAAATATCGATAAAGACTATTCAATAGTTTACATGATTCTAAGTAGATAAGGGTTTTATAATTGTTTGATGCGTGAAAGTAAATGACAAAAAGTAAACGACAAAAGTAAAATGAAAATTTAGGTTTTAAAATTTACATAAAACATTGTGAGCTATTTAATACATGAATATAATGATTATATCTAACTCCTTAACAAAGATATTTTTAGCTACGGTTACTCATCATAACAATGTTGATAATTCGGCGAAGATGAACTTGGAAGTTTATCTTTCATGTAACTTGAGAAGTGCTTCCGCCTTCAACCTCCCTCTCTTTTTTCTCATGTTGTAGACCAAGGAGAACCTACTTCAATTTTGTAGTACCTCGCTCTACCTAAATTCTCTTTGCAATAAATTGAAGAACTTTATTTTTAGTGGCAAATTTAGGGTCCCTATTAGGTGCATTATCCATCCTCGTATAATGAGCTTTCTGTCTTATAGGTTAAGCAATGCTAGTTGTCTGACAAATGCCATTAGTTGCCTTACTTCACTAGGCACACCACCACTTTGCTTAGTGAGCAAACCATTTCTTCACCATGAAGTACTTTAGTCTTGAAGTGTCTTATGGCTTCCCGATCTTGCTAGGCACGCCTTTGATTATGCGAGGAATCACTTTGGCTTGGTCTTTGTGTTCTAAATTGTGGTTTTCTAGTCCTTTTTATGTGATTTTAGTTAATACATGATAGGAAAGTTCAAACAAGTGTTATATAATTTTTTTATAGATAAATTGAAGGTTTTTATATTGATTACTTGTAAAATAAGTTAATAAGTGCCTTCGTATTTTACATAAGTTTGATAAGGCAATGTTCAAAAACTTTGATGAATGCCTAACTCACAAAATGAAATTACGAGGGGGAAATGAATAAATGGTTTATGGCACCGACTTCAAACTCGTTGAAAAGAAAAAGATAACAAATAAGAGAGAACGATCATGAAATGGAATCACACACTCGTCATTATGACCACAAATAACTTGATATAATATCTCCAAATGAGAAAAAAACGTCACCACGAGAAAAAAAACGTCACCACGAGAGAAAACATAAGTAACCTATAATATCTCCAAATTTACCCAAACTTCTGAAATGTCTTTGTTGACTTTATTTGTTGAAATTGATCTTATAACCATGATTAAGTATGTTAAGAACTAATGCCAGCACACCATAGATGACAAACAACCTCAAACCATCACTGATACACCATAATTGTATGACATTATCGAACTAGTAAAAAAGAGTTATCGTCCTTAGAGACCTGTGGTCAATTACCGTTCTCTATCATGTCTTTGTTTATCTAAGACTATGTGATAATCATTTTTCTTGCGCGAAAATTTAAAATATTTGATTTTATTAATTATAAAAAATAAGAGTCCAAGACTATGATTCTTATCCGCTGACTTAACTCATACAAGTTGTGATACCGATTATAACAAGAATTTTATATTTTGCATAAAATGCCAAAATTAGTGGTAATTCCCATTTTCATCGGCAAATTAGCAGACTCTAAACTCGTAACCCATCTACTTTGATAACACTAATTGTAAATTTAAATATCCTTTATAAAATGATTGTAATTTCTCAATTAGTTTCAAAATGCTTTCATAGCCTCAAAACCAATTGCTCAAATTTCTAAGCCATATATTATTTATGACCTTTTGGTGCATAAATGATATCTTTGCATTCCTACTTCCGTATTGAACGTCTTTCTTTTTAAAATAGAAATTGCAAATGTATTCTCATTACGGTTGATATTTATACAACTTGCATGTGGTTTGTTGGTACAACATTCCTCGTGTTTCATACCATAAAGTAAACTACTAAGACATGACTAATGATAAGACGACAAAGACCTACAAAGCATACATTGTAAAAGCAGTAAAGTAAAACCTAGAATGTAGTGAATATATTTGAAATTAAGAATGCTCCAAGGAAGACTTTAGATCAAATACTGCAAAATAAAGCTTCAACGCAGTATAATAATAAAACAAAAATAAAGGAAAATTTCAAACTTGCATAAACGAAGAAAACTAAAAATGATTATAGTTCAAAGACGTTTGGTTCTCTTCCCCTCTATGTCACATTCTATTTTATATCATATATTGGCACTAAATGGTAGTTAAGTGCACTACTGGACATACAAAACCGCAAGAAAGCCCAAGGAAAAACAACTGAAAACAAGAAAATGAAGAATAAAAAACATTGAGTCTAGGAAGACGACGGACGCCATGGCTGCTGATAGGGTGCCTATCGTTGCTTCAAAATTCACATTCTGGGAATATGACGGGCGTCGTGACAGGTGACGGGCTACTTGTCATCTCTTCAATGTGCTAGGTCTTTTTTTTCTTATGCTTCCATAATGGTTGTTTCCCTAGCCACCACAATTGTCTTTCCTAGCCATGACGTTCGTATTGTTCATGATGAATCAACAATCATTTGCTCTGTTTGCTCGTTCCTCTTATGCTTTTTCTTATTTTTTCTTCAATAGTCAGTGTCAAATGTCTTATAACTGAAACATAGTGAAAATGCCAATTTTTAAGAGTAAAATGAAGATATAATATACAAAAAAATTATAGAAAGAAAACTAATAAAAATACTAATGATCAATCACCGTTCCACAAAACCTAAAAACTGATAAACAAATCTCATAGACGTAAATCGACGCTCGTACTAGAATATTTCCAAAAATAAATTAAAGGAACAAATGGATTTCTTACGCAAATTAAAAACAATCAAAAGGGGCAACTACAACATTCCGAGAGTCTTATGCACTCCTTTAAAAAACTAAGGATCGATTGATCACCCTACACTCTCAATAGTATATAATCATCTAAAAATATTCAAAAAACACTCAAGTATCTTAAATAAAAAAGTACTTCATTAGTAGAGATACATGTCGTCCATTCCCAGTGACACGTAGTACTACACGAGGATAGTATTTAATTTTCCAATTCGAAAGAATAACAATGTTCAATCAAAGCAAATCTAGGGGGTATAGTACTAAAATGGAAGTCAAGCCCAGCCCAAACAACATCGAATAGATTATTTTGGGCCTGGGTAATACAAATTGCAAATTTCTTAGTCCAGTGTAGTTTGGATTCAAGACGAGAATCGAATACTCTACCCTAAGTCCCACCATAACCATTTCTTCATATTTGTTTAGCACCTTCGTCCCCATTCTCTTCTCCACTGCAACACCACGCTCTACGCCTGTAACAATTCACTATCCAGAGTCATCCAAGTCCAATCTCACCTTACTTCTCACCAGAACTAAGCCCAATCTCTTTTCCTCTGCTTCCGAGCTTATCTTCCTTCAACAATGGCGACGGTCATGCAGAAAATCAAAGATATCGAAGATGAGGTACTCATGCTTTTCCACAACTTCAATAACTGATTCTAAATTCTATAATGAATTGAACATATGGAAATAGTTGTAGACATGCGATTTATTCGGTGAAACTTAGCCTTTTTTATCACACTGTTGTTGATTTCACATCTTGAACATATATTCTAATAAAATTAATAGAATTGTTGTTTGTATACCGCTGGATTTTTTTATTTGCGTTTTACTACATTCTTAATTTTCTACAATTTGTTTACGAATCACAAATTTCCCCCCTTTCTTTTAAGCTGTTTCTGACTGCCCTAATTTATTAATGTCTGTGATGAATTCCACATTACACAAAATAAGTGAAGTTGGTGTATGTCAACTAAAAAAACTTTGCTGCAGCTACCTCTATGCATTGAATCCTATTTGCATGTTTGTAAGTCGAGGAGAATGTTCCCTGTGTTACTTTTTGTGTTAATTCTTTTCTCAGTCTCAAGACATGATGATAAATATGTTGTTCAAGCAATAGTTGACATGTACTGGTTGTTTTTATGCAGTATCTACAAGCTTTATTCTGTCATTTTCCTATTATTTTGTGTATGATCATGGTTATTTGTATTTTACAGATGGCCAAGACTCAAAAGAACAAGGCTACTGCTCATCATTTAGGGTTACTGAAGGTAAACATGTTAGTCCATTTTGTTTGGTTATTATATTGGATAAAGGGAAGGCAAAGAAAAATCATATATATGACCAGTGAGCTGTGGTAACTATATGAATTTTTTTTTGTTGCTTGTTTCTGTTTAGGATTTAGCTGAGGCTGGTATTTGAAGACAATGACACATATTTTTCACTAAACTTGTAGTTAGATCGGATATTTTGTTTAGGGATTGTATTTGGAAGGGCAGTTGTTCAAGATCAATTAAACTCGGATAATGCAAAATTTGGGAAGTATCCATATTAGGTCAGAGTGTTGGGCTGGAAAGAATTAACACAGAAATAAATTAAGTGTAGTATAGATGAGAATGTTGCGTTGGATGTGTGGTAAAACTAGACAAGATAGGATTATAAATGACAATATTGAGTTGGGGTGACAACAATAGTAGAAATGAAGGTGGAAACTAGACTTAAGTGGTTTGAACTTATAGAGAGAATATCCGTGGATTTTGCAGTAAAAAGCGTAGGTCAGATTGAGGGTATGCAAACCGTCTGAGGTAGAGGAAAACGTTTAAAAACTATGACAACAACTATTAAGAAAGAACTTAAGATTATTGAGTTGGATATAAGTATGATATTTGACAGAACATTATAGGTTCGTTTGATCCGTGTATCATACCTCACTTAGTGGGATATGACTTGGTTGTTGTTTTTGTTGTATCCGTATCAAATGCATAATAGCTACTGATGCTTTGTGTGGACACATGGATACATCTCCTAGAAGTATCTTAATATTTTTTGCTTATTAAAAATATTTTATCGGATATGTATGAGATATTTAGTGGATACACGTTGATATTTAATGTATTACATAATGAGACAAGGTTGTGGGACATCAAAGGAGATGCACACGAGCTACATCAAGATGGTGTTGGACTACTTGAATTGACAAAGTTGTCTCTTGATGAACCAGACTTAGAAGTAATGCTTTTTATGGATGATGGTAATGGAGAAGAAGAAGACTGATTAATTTAGGATTATACAGTAATTGATTTAAAGTACTTTAGTTGTTGGCTATTGCATAGAGCCAAAACATGTTTTGAATTCTTTTAATGATACTTTTGTTGATACCCTAACACAAAGGTTAAAATATATTATGAAAATTGTGACCATTATAGTTTTATATCCCCTCCATAACCAAATATAAGCAAAAATAGGTCAGAGAAAGTTTATTTATTTGGTCCAGAGGTTAAAATATATTAATGAAGGATGTTCAGTGTCTCTTTCTTTACAAGTATTCTACATGCATATAATTTTTTTTATAAATCTTTTGTTAATTTATCTAGGCTTGGTCTATCATGAATTCCAAATCTTTCATGTATCCGTATTGTATTAAATTTGTACTGCGTATCTGAGCTTCATAGTTCAGGATCATATTACTATTCCAACATTTCTCTGTGGAAGTTGCATCTGTAGTTATAGGCTGCATAACATATTCTGCTCCAGCCATTGGTTTTTTTTGTCACCATTCATTACAGGGATTCTCATTGATTTGTGTAGTGATATGTTCCTACCTACCGCATTCCCTATATTTGAAATTTGGGTTTTAAAATGCCAAAATATTCAAAAGTCTAAAACTCTGAACTTATGGAATCTTATATTCTTTATATATTTTTTCTTCCTTCTGGTTTCTTTAGTCTACATGCATCCTTGCTATTATAGTACTAATTTTTATTTTAATATGCAATATTGAAGGCAAAATGATTGCTTTCTTGTTAGAATTGTACTCTGTACTATTACTACCCCCTATTGTTTTAGCATTTCCAGCTACTTTTTTTAAACCTCTCTTCTACTATTGGTGCCAGGCTAAACTTGCAAAACTGAGGAGGGAGCTCCTTACCCCTACAACTAAGGGAGGTGGAGGTGCTGGCGAAGGTTTTGATGTTACTAAAAGTGGAGATGCAAGAGTTGGTCTCGTGGGTTTTCCTTCAGTTGGCAAGTCTACTCTGCTGAATAAATTGACTGGGACATTTTCAGAGGTATAGGAAGTATTCAAGTTCTCATGCATTGTCTTTTTCAATTATACCAAAGGTCAATCTTTTATTTCGTTGTTGTGATTTGGAGTGAATGTTATCCAAAGGAGCCCAACAAAGTTCAACCTTTCAACAAGAAAAAGCAAGTCCAACCTTGCTACCTTTCACTGCTATCACCAATTAGTAGTTTGTTTTTGTATTCTATTTCTTTTCAAAAGTTAAATAAATGTTAGACTTTTATATTTGATTTTTAGTCCAACTAAAGTTTGTTTTTAATCCCTGAAAATCTTAAATATATGCACTTTTATATGATATTTTAAACGTGTTTGATTAATCAATCAGTGCATGGGATTTGCATTTATTCCATCTTCTTCATATTACTCCTCATGTACTCCTATCCGATGCATTATATAAGCAGTTGCTTCTTTTTATTGAACATTAAACTTCTCATTTATGTTATATACTCTATTATACTTTATCTCAAATGTACTATCTTTTTCTTTTGGTAACAAGCCATTCATTGTGTTTATTTAGTAATCGGTCATCTTCACATGATAGCTCTTTCTTTGTATTGGGTTTGGGTGGTTGGATCATAACAATTTTGTGAACTATCTAAGTTTTAGCTTTTGTTAAAATAGCTTGTCTTAAAACTTTACTTATTTTGGTTTGTAGGTTGCTTCCTATGAGTTCACTACCTTGACATGCATCCCTGGTGTGATCACATACCGTGGAGCTAAAATTCAGGTACACATTGGTGATTAAGTTGCCTTACTAAGGGTGTGGGGTTCAGTTATTCTTTTGTGAGTTGTGGAATTTGGAATACCTAAAACTAAATTTTGTTGTACATGTTTCTAATGATAGTTGAGAGAACAGTAAATGATATGTGAGTAGTGTCTCTCTATACCAGTAGCTTCTGACTATCAGCTTCACACGCACTTAGTTTCAAAAGAGCAATTTTTAGACATTTATACATTGGTTGAAACATTCTGATGGTGATTGTATCAACTATACCTCAATCTAAAAGCAAAAAAAGGAACGTATTTAAAACAGATTTAATTCTTTCACTTCGTTGTATCTGTTTATATATTTGTCCAAATTTTAAATGAATATATGAGGTTTTATTTGATTGCACTGTCTTTTTTTTTTAATGAAAATTTGATAATGTCTATCTAAGGTTCCTTCCTTATGTTTCCCAATCTACATTTGTTTCTGTTCCTTCCGGTGAGAAAGCTTTTCTTTCAGAATGGTTGGGGACCTGTCGTCTGCAGTGTTATCAAATTGCGGCGCCATGGCCGCTATGGCGGATATACATGGCAGTTTTTAGGCTCGCTGCAATGGAAATATCGGCCAATATTGCAGGTTTTTCTGTCATAATCTGCTATAACGGCACCTCAAAGTGTCCGTTATGGCGGGATTTTGGTGCTCCGCCATCCGCCACGGACAACACTGGTCGTCTGGGAGGAAGGGCCCTTCCTTATCTTCGAGATGGTCATGAGTTGGCAAGAGGTGGGGGTACCTACACACACTCTGACGCTCAAGTCAGTGATCGTTAGAGATGAGAGGAATTTTTAGTAAAAGGAACCTTTTGTGCGTACCTCATTCGAAGTCTGTAGCCCCCTTTTATAGGAATCTTCCTAGGGTTTCTCTTCATTCCCTATTATTCGTTCCCTCATGTCACGGGTTTCTCATCTTTCAGTACTTTTTAGGCCCAAACCTAATTATGGGGTCCTAGAAGCTTCTTTTGGACGACAAAGATGTTTATCCCGTGACGTCATTATCCTGATGTCACCTGGTGGCATGGATATTCTTATCTCGGACCCTTGTGGTTTTGTGGATCACTATTTTCCACCGTGTCACCATTTTTGTGCCAAGATTGGATATGGCCTTTGCCTTCTGGACCCTCCTCTTCTTGGAGTTTTTACCAGATAGGAACAGTTTTGTATTGTCAAATTAGGCATCGGATTGCTTATTTGAACTTTCTATAACTAAATAGAGGTATCTCTTTTGCAATTTTTAAAAATATAATTTATTCATTGAAGTGTTAACGTTAACCTTGTTCTCGAAATTTATCGTATGATAGGCAAGATGATACCATTATTATTGTTTATTGAAACATGAAGTTTTCAATGCTGAAAACTTTTAGGACTTAATGAATATATTCTGTAATTGCAACTTAATCACAAGACAATTTATGGTAATATATGATTGTGATACATATTAAAGTTATATTCAATTTTCAGTAGTAAATTATTCATTTTTTGTGTGTCAGTTGCTGGATCTCCCTGGAATTATTGAGGGTGCCAAGGATGGAAAGGGTAGAGGAAGGCAGGTAATAATAATATGCACATCTTATCAATTGCAATTGGTATTCATGTTGAGATAGTAATACAGCATTCAAGTTCTTCCTACAAAATATTTCATTTGCACAGTTAACAACTGTTTGGAATGCATCTTTCCTACCTCATTTTCAGACAAACACTAATATATCTTGTTTTGTATACTGTTTTTCAAACACAGGTTATTAGTACTGCAAGGACATGTAATTGCATTTTAATTGTTCTTGATGCAATAAAACCAATAACTCATAAGCGTCTTATTGAAAAAGAACTAGAAGGATTTGGTATAAGGTAACATGTTATATTTTGTTTACCATGTTTATGTATGTCCCCGGTTATATGGCCATCTGTAGGGGACTCATCTTATTATTTATTGTTATTGTTGTTGTATGCAGTAGCTTATACTGAAACGAGTTGGTAACTTTTTGGTGGTTTTTCTTAAATATATGTCTTAAATGTAGCATCAATATGATGAATAAAGTTTATATTGGTTAGGCTTTCGACTCTTAAAGTAAGCATTTATGGTTATTGGTTATTAGCAGCAGTTGAACACTTACACACTGTACCTGGGGAAACTGTGATTTGATTTGATTTGATTTGGGTTTTAGTGGGGTGTATATCATGCCATGAAACATGAATTGATTTGGAGAGGTTATTGAATCTTGCGTAGGATTGCTTCTTATTATGTGTTTGTGGAATCAGACCCTTATGAATAATCCTGATCAAGTTTCAACAACCTTGCACATTTTAATTACATATCAACCAAAAATTTACTATTACAGCCACTGCTGAACTTGTTAGTAGTCTCATTTAATTCTGTTAAGCATTGCAAATTAACTTCGGTCCAAATAAAGATGGATGGAATAACAATATGGGATCATACATGATACAGATAAGCAACAAAAGAAGTGTGACTGCTCGTAACCACTGATTTATGTCGTAGGTGGGCCCAGATTTTTGGGAGAGGAATTTGATACAATGAAAGAATTTGGTTATATATTTATGGATATTTTTGTGTTACTGACTTTCTGGTATGCCATTCAGATGATAAAAAAGCCAAAATCACAAGCTCACTTTGATGTATTTTTCTTGTTTTTATTTACCTTGGTAATTATTTATTTCTCTTTATTTTTTTATTTTCTACTTTAGGTTAAACAAAGAACCTCCAAACCTGACTTTTAGGAGGAAAGAGAAGGGTGGGATTAATTTCACTTCAACTGCTACAAACACCCATCTGGATCTTGATACTGTGAAGGCTATATGTAGCGAGTACAGAATTCATAATGCAGATATTACTCTAAGGTATGATGCCACTGCTGATGACCTTATAGATGTCATTGAGGGCAGTAGAATATATACACCCTGCATTTATGTTGTGAACAAGATTGATCAGATCACACTTGAGGAACTGGAGATCTTGGATAAGCTTCCTCATTACTGCCCTGTCAGGTAATTCTTGTCTCCGTCTTATTTTCACCCCATCCTTTTCTCCCTCTAAAAAGAAATCATCGTAAAAGTTTTTATAGATCTTTGTTCTGCCCGTTCAATCCTCCATGCCCAGAAACTAATTGCCTTTTAAATTATTGTATTCTTTCTTATTTGTCTTTGTTTGATGTTACATCTAGAATGCAAGTTTTAGAGAAACAAGTTTATGCCTTTGTAGAAGTTTGAGTAATTTCTATCTGTTATTTAGTGCACACCTGGAGTGGAATCTTGATGGGCTTCTCGATAAAGTTTGGGAGTATCTCTGTTTAACTCGTATTTATACTAAACCAAAAGGTATGAATCCTGATTATGAAGACCCTGTAATATTATCGTCTAAGAAGAAGACAGTTGAAGACTTCTGCGACCGCATTCACAAGGACATGCTTAAACAGTTTAAGTAGTGAGTACCTTCTCCCAAAACTAGATATCTTATGATTTATTGCTTCATAATATTGAGCAATTTCTCTATGTTTCCATAAACGAGGAGCTATACATGTGAAGATAGACTTTGTTTTTTCCAGCTATAAAGTCTGAATTGTTGTCATTTGTCAGTCTTGTTAGGAAACCTTTTGTTAATATGCCGCTAGTGCTCATCAGGACTAACTTTATATACTTAGAAACTGATCTTTTATTTGATGAGTAGACTTAGTTTGGGGACAAGATGCATCTTGTAGAATGAAAAAGATAATTATCAGAATTAATATATCCTCTCCTACTGCACATGCAAATTTTTTCCCCTTGCCTTTGTTTGTTGCTTACATTTTCCAAATGATGCAGTGCTCTGGTCTGGGGTTCAAGTGCAAAACACAAGCCTCAAAGAGTCGGCAAGGTTGATTCTGATTCTATATGCTAGTTTCTTTATTTTCCGTATCATTTTCTTTCATAGTTCTGTGTTTCTCTTTTCTTTTTTTCTTCTCCCTAATTTGCAAAGATGCATGTAATAAGTGGAATGCCTTATTATGCTCCAGGAACATGAACTTGAAGACGAAGATGTTGTTCAGATTATCAAGAAAGTATAAACTTATAGTCAGACTTCTGAAAGCAGACCACAATGCCTGCATGAGATACACTATGTCTGAGCAGAATCAAAGGTCTCTTGGTGAGTTTTTTTTCCAGCGTTGTTGGATCACACTCCAATTGCTTGTTTCTCATTCAGACAGTGATTAGGTAAAATATACAAAGTGTAATGGGTAGTTAAACTATTTTGTTGTGAAGAAGGGTGCTGTTTTTCTGTTAGTTTGGGTTAATGATCCATATTGCGGGATTATGCATATCTATAACATATAATTGGGGACTGTTTTTTGGATATCCAGGTATGCTTATGCTGGACATTTTGATGAAATGATGGCATCAGTTGTTTCTACGTTTTTTTTTAATGCTACTTATGCTTAACAATCTTATTCCCAGGATCAAAAGTTCATCTTGATAGAATTTGTGGCAGGCTGTCTGCTGTGATTTTGGTTGGTGAATGAAACAGAGCAATTGTAGGTAAAAACGTTGGTTGCTAAGAGTGTGTATTGGGAGGAAAATGAAAATATGACCTTCGAAATAATTTAGTTTTCAAATTGAAAACTGTCGTGAATATATTTTCTCTGATAAATCTCTTTATATATGGCATGACTTGCACATTAAAGCCTATGTGGCTTTCTCTGTGCCTGTATCACTGCCACCGCACTTGAATCATTTTGCCTAAATAATTTGCAAAGTTAAACATTTAGAAAAACATAAATATGCTCGAGTGTAGTGGGTGCAATGGGGGAACTTGAGTGGAAGTCTGGAGTTATTCCAGCTGTCTCATCATTTTATTCCATTGGATTAAGGATTGCTTTATGCATAAAGAATTAAAGACGCCAAAAAAGTTGAGAAAAGTGGTTCAAAAGTGTTCATACAAGAACGAGAATTTACCTAACAAGGCTCCGATAGTGTTGCCTTAACTTTCAAAGACATCACTCTGCCCTAGCTTACCATATACGTTATCCAACTATATTTCATCACCTACCACCCCATTTTAGAGCCATTGGAGTTAGTTTTGGTGTTGTGTTAAAGAAAATGAATTTACATATTTAGGTGAAACTTGTTTGTTTCAGCTTTAAAAAAATGATTTTATTTTTGTATTTTCAAAAATAAATTTTATAAAGCTGTTTTTAAAATATTATAAGTTGTTTTATATTGCTTTTTGTAAATTAAAAGGTTAATTTTGACAGTCTAAAATATAAACATACATTATTCAAGATCAAAAAATAATTGAAATTGTAATTTTTTGAAAGTTGATATTTCAAAAATGATTTTTATGAAAATTTATTTAAAATAGTTTTAAAATTAAGTAATTTTTTAAAATTTTGATATTAAATTTTTTTTAATAAAATAATAAAATATCTAAAATAGCAATTCAAGAATAAATTATTTAACTAAATTTTTTATTTGAAATTTTTATAAAAAATGTTTTTATAAATTTTTATAATTTTTTATACAAAATTATGTTACACTATAAAATTATTTTTAAAAAATTCAAAACAAACAGAACTATTATACGCGTTATTTTAGATTATATTCTTCTCTTTTCATTCTTATTTTATTAAAGTCCGCCCTTTTATTTTAGTTTGGTTATCATGTTATCCCTGTGTTGAGCTAAAATTCTTTGCGGTTAATAATTAATTAGGTTTTTTTGGACCAAAATTAATTAGGTTATTAATATTAATATAATGCATATGTTTAGAAAAGCGATTCGTGATTTCCAAATAAATTGAAAGAGATTTTTTTTTATCATTTTATTTAGGGGATTGTTAGCTACACTCATGTAGTACTCTCAAACTATGGAAACTTAAAAATATCATTTGTCACACTATCTGGAGATTGAAATTTGGAAGCACTGTATTGAAAAGATTCTAAATTTTGTATAGCATTAAAAATGTTTATATAGAATGACATTATTCACTTTACAAGCCGACCCAGTAAGAATGAATTAGAAAAAAAAATTTAAAATTAAGTGATTTTTTAAAATTTTGATATTCAATTTTTTTAATAAAATGATAAAATATCTAAAATAATAATTCAAGAATAAACTATTCAAACTAAATTTTTCATTTAAAATTTTTATAAAAAATATTTTTATGAATTTTTATAAATTTTTTCTATATAAAATTATGTTACATTATAAAAATCATTTAAAAAAAATTCAAAACAAACAGGACTATTGTACACATTATTTTAGATTATATTCTTCTCTTTTCATTCTTATTTTATTAAAGCTCGCCCTTTTATGTTAGTTTGGTTATCATATTATCCCAACGTTGAGCTAAAATTCTTTGCGGTTAATAATTAATTCGTTTTTTTTTATCAAAATTAATTAGGTTATTAATATGAATATGTTTAGAAAAGCGATTCATGTTAAATGATTAGGAATATTCTTTTAGGTTATAAATCAAGTGTCGGTTAGATTTGAATCCATGATTTCTAAATAAATTGAAAGAGAATTTTTTGTCATTTTATTTAGGGGATTGTTTGCTACACTCCATGTAGTACTCTCAAACTATGGAAACTTGAAAATATCATTTGTCACACCGTCTAGAGATTGAAATTTGGAAGCATTATATTGAAAAGATTTCAAATTATATAGAGCATTGAAAGTGTTTATATAGAATGACATTACTCATTTTACAGGCCGATTTTGTAAGAATGAATTAGATCAAACTCTATTACACCACAATACAACAAATTAAGAAATCTCTTCATCGGAAACGCACCTCATCCATGTAAAGAAGGTTCTAATTTTAGAATTCGAATACATCATTCAGAGTTTAAAATTCAGAAACATCAAGCATAAAAAATAATTTTGCACAAGACTGTATAGTTACATTTTTTCTTGTCCTTACATACCACCTTACATCTGTTAGCATCATTTTTCTCAAAGTTAACATCCATAACATTCAAACATTATGCTCTAATATAACATCTTTGAACTGCTTCAATGTACAAAACTCTATTCTAACCTTGAAAACAAAATCCTTACTTAGATAATCCTCTACATTGAATCTGATTACACATGGCATTTCATCAAAATTGTCATCATCGTCTCCACTGCTCAGTTCATCAATCATGTATGCATCTTCAATGACATGTTCCTTACCCATCTCTTCTGTAATAAAAATATTTTTTTCTGGTTGAGTTAGACCCTCATTATTAGTAATAGGTTCAACTATAAGTTATCCCTCAAGCCCATCATCAAACACTTCATCAAGCCCTTTCATTCTCTCATACTCACTATCATCAAAGTGGACACCCCTCACAGATTCATCAATAGAATCACCACTAGTTTCACCTAATTTGTCGTCATCTTCATCACATTTCTTCCTCTTTCCTTTATCTCTAAACCTATCCATAAAGATATCATCTCCTGTAACTTCAGGCTCACAGAATATTTCAACTTCACAATTATTTCCAACAACATACATAGCTAACACATAAGCATCTCTATCATCCCTAAATGATTTTAAGCCTTGTTAAAATGATCCTACATCATGTTTCCACCATATCTTAACACAAATTAAATCAAACTTAGGGTCAATCATTTTAACTAAGTCATAAGCTTCAAAAAAAGACTAGTAATCAGGATCTTGACCAGTAAAAACATATACTTCCACCTTATAACTTATGCTAGAATCTTTTACAAAACAACTCTGTGAGTAAAACACAACTTTATATTTATGAATTTTCCTATTAAAAAATTTCACTTTAGTTTAAAATTTATCATGACTAAGTCAAATTGATTTATCAAAATTAGTTCTAACAACTATACCAAAATTTGGTTAAACAAATTTACCAAAAAATTAACTTTTACACGAATGATAATAATATGAAACATAATAAATAAACTAGGACCATTGAATGCGGCTAAGTATAAGAAAGCAACGAAGATGACAAAGCATAAGAAACAAAGGAACAAAGCAGCAACAAATTACATTACCTGGAACCACTGCAACGAGGATTACAAAGTTATTTTTGGGACCACTGCAACGAGTATAACAAAGTTGTTTTGGGACCATTGTAACAAAGACTTGTTCCTTAACCACAACGAAGCTTTTTTTCAACGCAGGAGAAGTCTTGTTCTAAGGTACACTTCTCATTCAAAATGTTTGGGTCGTTTAACATTACCTCATTTGTAATTAACAAGATAACGCCATCAACTATTCCACCATGGTGAATTAGCAATTAGAATTCACATGTAAGCAAACAAAAAATTTACAAGTGGTATGACACTTAGACATCTGTTAGTGAAAACTAATGGAAGGGACCACATTTAAGAATGGAAACGATTGTGGGAACTATTGTTTAAAGAATTTTTTTATAAAAACTAAAATTATATGTAGAGATATTTATAGGAATTAAAAACATATAAGGTTAACTTGAGTAAGATTGTACACCTATAAATTTGAGAGTTCATTTGGTTAAATCACTAATGAAAGACTTACTTTTACACATGAATATTTTAACTCAATGTTTTTGATTAATCATATCATGTTTTTGTAGAGGTTTAGATTGTTATTTTATAAATATTTTTCTTTATTTAAATATATTTTTGTTTTTCCTATCAAACTCATTACTTACAAAGTTTTCTAGTTATATTTTTGTAATTAAGATAAATGAGTTGTGATCTCACCTGATCAGAAAGGAATCAGTAGTCTATCATACGTCATGAGTTGCTGCCTTCATCAGTGTTATAGAGGAGGAGGGGGTGTACCTACAAGGTGCTTCGATATTTAAGTGAGTAACGAAGTTTGAGAGAGAGAGAGAGAGAGAGAGAAAAAAAAAGTACAGAGAAAATGTGTAGTGAACGAGATATCTGACCCTATAGTGAAAGAGGATATTTATAATATCCCCCCAACGCAAGGCCAACGATTACATTGCATTTAACCAGATTTCCAAGACCAACGCAAGTAACTGGCAGGGCTTACGTGGCGTAGTGAAGACCATCACATGGTCTTCACCCTGGATCAACTGCCCCGTGTTCTTCACAAGATGGGCTGACCATCTCTTTCAAAAGTGGCTAGTTTCCTGATAACCTATCCCTACGTGGGGGCACGTGGAGTCCGTGGGGAAAATGCATGAGCTCTTCCCATGCAAGATAATGTTCTGCCCGACTAGTGTGCCTTATTGAGGCTTGTTCCCGACAGAGAGGATTGGGCTTTGTTGGGCCTCATCAGCATAATATTGGGTTGGGCTTGCTTAGCTGAGGGACAGGTCTTGACCCAGTCCAGAACAGGAGCCCCCCAAGTCGTTGCTCCTAGTTGGAGGAGTAATGACTTAATAGCAGGTCGAAATGTTAAGGACCTATTTAGGAGATGGTATTTTGCTCGACGCATAGAATTCAGAGTGGTGTACCAGGTCAGGAGCGTAGGTGGACAACATGTCGGAGAGGTGGACAGGGAACGAATGTGCTCGATCCTCGAGCCCAAGAGGAAGACGAATGGGTGCGAGGTTTTTGGTGATGCCATGTATCAGCAAATCATTGCTTAGCTAGGGCGTTTGAGTGCCTAGGGGTGCCTCGAGTCCCGTGTTAGGCTTATAAATAGGATTGAGTCCGCTTCAGTTTCAATTTTTCCCTTCTTCCATTCAAAACGTTTCCTCTTCTTCTCGTTGTAACCCTCTATCTTCTGCACTGAGACGTTCGTCGTTCGCTACCGTATTATCTTTCCAGAACCGTCGCACTAAGTAAGTATTCGCTGCTTTATTTCTCATTTTTCTTATTTTTCGATGGTTCTCTGGTGGACTTGATGAATGTCCTGGGGAGACTATGAAGTTTTTGACGAATACGTCGGGACTTCTTTGAATTAGTGTAGAGTTAGGATGAAGCTCTCAGGGACAAGCGATGAAGCCCCCAGGGACGTAGCATAGTTTTGGATGAACCTCCTGGGGACAAGCGACAAAGTCCCCGGGGACGTAGGATAGTTTTGGATGAACCTCCAGGGTACGAGTGATGAAGCCCCTAGGGACGTAGGGTGAACGCCCCGGGGATCCGATGAAAGTCTCAGGGGTCCGTTCTCGCCTGTCGAGGCGGGAGAGGCCCTGTCCCCAGGGGTCCCCCTCTTTGCCTTTTCACTTGATCTATAGTGGAAGGATGGATTTAATCTGGAATATCAAATTTACCAATTTCCCCTGCTTTTTAGGTGAAGATGGCTGCTTGGATACAGGGGGTCATTGAAATCAACGAAGATCTTGATTCCCCGATGGAGCAAGCCAGTGAAGATAAAAGAAGGTCTGCCGCATATTGGACTAGGGAGGAGCCCCTGAGTGTCTCTTCTCGCTTTGTCGTGGGTGAGTCTGACGCCTATGCTACAGGCGAGGACCTCTGTGAGGATTCCCCCGTGAAATGGCAGGTGTACAAACCACGAGCAAACCATCAGATATGCTCGACTTATTAGGGGATAAGGTTCCCCATGTATGAGTTTACCTTCCGTGAAGTGGGATTGCGTCTACCTTTCACTGACTTCAAACGGGGAGTTTTTGACTGACTGCGGTTGGCGCCCTTCCTCGTGTGGGTGTATGAGCTCGTATGTCGACATCTTATCATCGGGGCCACTCTCACCCTTTTCTTCCACATCTTTCACCTTCAAAGACAATCACTCGATGGTCGACATAGATGGGTGTCCTTAAAGCAATCGAGGAGGCTTTTTCGTACATATTTGGATTCCATATGAACTTTCAAGGACCGGTATTACGTTGCCAAGCTCATCACTCACATGATCGTGGACTCTCTTTTCAACCGCGAGGTCCGGGAAAAAGACGAGCAGTCAGAGAAAGTCTTAGTGTCGAATATTCCGCTGATTTAGACAAAGGAAAATTTCGACAAGGACACGAACAACTACATAGTGCGGGCAAGCTCGTTGGATACCGACGACCAGGTGGCCTACCAAAAGCTGGTCACATTTGTGGCTAGTTTCACCCCTGCAAAGTGTGTGACGTCGGACAAGAGTTTTATCCTCGACTCGAATGGGGAGATTTTTAGGGAGTCGGGATTGATCAACAAAAAGGCCCTCCTCGAGTGTGCATCTGATGAGGAAGCCCTGCATCTTTTAGGTAGTTGGGTTCGCTTTTCGCTCAGGCCTTGTCTGTGAATTTGTTGTTGGTTTGTGTTTTGTTGACTTATTTATTTTTCTTTTGTAGGAGAAATGTCGAGCATGCACGAGCGTGTGAAGAGGTTGGCGGCCATCAGGGGCGCGAAGAAATATAGTAAGGGGAGAATTGCCCAGGTACAGCAGATGCCTGGTCTCGATCAGGGGCTCGGTGGCTCCTCCTCTTCCCCCAGGGCAGCCAGTCTTCCTCCTCGTAGGGGACATCTAAGAGGATGCAGATTAATGAGCCTGAGACCGTCGACCTCACCGAGGGTAGTGCTGAGGAAAGGTTTTGGCTCCAACCGTGTCATCTGTAGCCCAATTTCTTTTGTGGGGCCAACTCCCCGGTGGTGAGTGCCGCTGAGACCAAAGTTATTCTGGGCGCTGACCAGAAGACGAGGAAGAAGGCTCTAACATAGGACCTGGCCGTGGTGATACGGGTCTTTGAGACGACTCTGGTCCTCAATAATGAGGCTTGCTCTTCTTCCGGCCTATCCAAATTGTGGGACGACCTTGCGACCGTCGAGGCAGAGAGGAACAAGTTGGTGGCTAATCTCGACCAGCCCAAAGAAAAGAGTGCTGCCCAGATTAAGCTCCAAGACGAGATGGAGAAGCAGTTGAAGGTCACGGGTGAAGAGAGGATGAAGCTCTTGGCGTGGATTGCAGAGTTGGAGGCGACTTCCCAACCTGCGGAGGACGAGACTACTGAGGAGAAGCTCATGGAGTCTCGTGCAGCTCTGGTGTCGAGGATTCAGTAACTCGAGGAAGACTGCATGGGGGCTCTCGAGGTGGGTTACGACAATGCCGTGGAGAAGCTTCAGATCGTGAACCCGGACATTCCGTTATTCACCAATGGGATGTGGCCCTTCAATCAGGTCGTCGAGGGTCGTGCCGGGAGTAGAGGTGGAAGATAATGGCTCGGTTGAGGTGGGAGATGAGAAGGAGGATAGTGAAGCCTCTTAATGTTTTTTTGTCTTTGTCTTTCTGACCTGCGTGTCTATGTTATTTTCCTGATCTGCGTG